AATGAACAACGCGATACCATATTACAGAAAAAGGCGATCGCTTTTGTTTTCGGTGCGTGACACTAATGCGTGAACGCATATATTCGAAAAGCATTCAACCAGCCGCCATTTTGTACGATTCCAAATTCACGCACATGTCAGGGGGGACGGGTGCCTGCCTCGAAGCTCGGGGACGTTGTCTTGCGATGCACAACGCGATACGAACGATATACATATACGACGCATAGAGCTCATCTAGAAGCGGGTTATGAATAACCGGTGCACACATAGAAGACGAATTAATACAAATGAATATTTCCAAGCGTATATGTGTACACTCCAGTTCATAAGTACCTAAAGGAACTTACATCGTGTGCATCATTTTCGTTATCTTCTATTAATACAAACCGTAGGAATATGAAGATTTTAATATAATAGAATTAAATATAAAAATACTGTCTAAATGATATTTTAATAAATTTCGTGATGTCCGTTGCAGGTTCAGTGTCCAAATACTATGAACGGGACTGTACACGCAAGATCGAACGTATAATGTTCTTTTCTAAAGTCGAGAATAAATATGGATCAATTTCTCACGAGGATCGCATTATTTTTTTTTTTTTTTTTTTTGGAAATATTTGTTTCACCGATATTCCACTGTCGCTCGATGGATCATCGTTTATCCACAGAGTGCCGAACACGTGATACGAACGGTATATCGCGTGTGGATTATTCTGTAAATAATTCCGAAAGCACGTCTCATACGGGTAACGATGATTTATTGCAACGTATGTAAAGGAGCTCTATATATTTTTTTTATCTATAGATGGCTTTATGTTTGTCGCGGAACGAGGATATCACTTAGAAGCGTTTCGATTTCACAGGTACGGTATGACGACGAGGACGAGGACGAGGGTCCTCAGCCGGATCCGATGCTCGAGCAAGGAGCACCGATCCCGGTCCGACTGCACAACGAATTTCCACCCGAGTTGGCCTCCACACCTCTCGAGGATATCGATAGTTTCTATCATAACCAAAGGGTACCCAGTTTTATTTCGAACGACACGGAACGTTATCCTTTCTTCTTGTTGTCGTCCATCTTCTGTCCTTAGTTCTGTTGAAAATTCGCAGATCAGAATGATCGAGGGATCTTCAAAATGAGATGTTCAAAACCTTAATCTCTAGCAAAGACTAGAAAGAATTGACTACGGTTTCCAAGATGGCGGACAGGAGACACGCCAGACCACGTTCTCTTGATTTCGTCAAAGAGTTCATGTCGCACTTTAATTTAGAAGCTCATATGTAGGAAGAGCCCCGAATTATTCCCGGTCATTACGATCTGCAAAGACATCCGTCACTTCATAGTTTTTCATTAAATGTTTATTACCTTCGTACACGCATCGCTCTTTGAACGGCCGAAGCGCCTGAGGAACGAACTGAAAGGGGGTTGAAGTATACATACAGATCAATTCAGGGTGTGGCTATGTCAGGTGGAACACCTTGTCTAAACTCCATTGTACGCACATAAAAATATCGAGTTCACAACACCGTGGTCCCAACTTTTTATTATTTAACCCTTATTTGAATTTCCAAATTGTGATCATTTCTTTAGAACTATTATTTCTGTAGCTGTTAAGTGCAATCGAATTTGCTTTGCAACATTTAAGAACTTGATGAAATAATAGAGGATTAAATAAATTTTTAAATATTTATATCAACACGCATTAAAGCGTGGTTAGTTTAAATATTTGAGGAGGTCTGCTGCGGTCCCCATAATCCGAAGAAGGGTTATCGAGTAGTAATGGTAGAACCTTTTATTCAGATTATTCCATTTATATTTTCTGGTTACTGACACCGACTCCAAGCGTGTACTAGGCTAAACTGTCGACAGAAAATTTCATACGTTATTTGTTTTCTTTTTTACTTAACAATGTCGTATGTTTTAGACCTTCGTCGTCATCAGCAAGGGAAAGGACATATTCAGGTTCTCAGCGACAGACGCGATGTGGATCCTCGACCCGTTCAACCCGATACGACGCGTGGCCATTTACATATTGGTTCACTCAATGTTCTCCCTCTTCATTATCACTACAATATTGGTTAACTGCATACTCATGATCATGCCCACTACGCCCGCCATCGAGTCCACGGAGTGAGTATCGTTCGTTACGTCTCGTCTCGACCGTTCGACAATTACGAAACGTCGCGTCGCTCGGCGGGAAACTCGGTTTATCTATTACTATTTGTCTACTCTCACGCTTTTCTATGTTTTTTTATTTACGGTTTTTGATTTTCATTTACTTGTGTCCGTCGTACGAGTATCATTCGAAATAAACGATGAATAATACAAAATCATTTAAATAGAAAAGTTGAAAGTTTGGACGCTCGAAGTGGCGAAATTGGCGGTCATCTTGCTGCGATCCGTAGTGCCCTCTAGAATAGCGGTTCGTAAACTTTTTACTTTGTGGACCACTCATTAAAAAATCTGAAATCTGCGTACCACTATATGATCTATTGTAATTAAAAGTTTTATCTATTGTAACGTAAAGTTTTATGGACAGTATGATCTTGGAAAGGAAAGATCGATACTCGTACGAGGATGTAAAAATTAAAAGAAAAGGCAACTCGGATGATTCTCGGTTGGATGGAAGCGAATAACTAAAAGTATACGAACAGGTGTTTTGTACTTTAATCAAACGATTATTTTCTTAATTGATACGAGATTATACGAAGATAATGACATAAAACGGCTTGAAATTTTGTGAATTACAGTAAAGAAAATGAAAGATCGATTGTATATCGATAATAATTGAACGTTGGTATTTCTGAAATTGATACAAAAATTATGTATACAGGGTGTCCAGTAAATGAGGTACAATATTTAGACAGTAATTCTACGTGAAAAGGAGAATCTAAGTGGTAAAAAAATGTTCTTTTAGTCAAGGTTTTGTTCTTAAACAATCAACGTGTGTACTCCTACGACAATGCGTGTCTATTCACAAATATGAATGAAACCACGATTTTGTTAATATTTATGAAGATGAATAAAACGAGACTCGTGTATCAAAATTTTTCAATTTATCTTATCACGAAGAATTTCTTTGTCCATCACATCTCGCTGGACATTTTGTATACATTTTTCACAAATTCTCTTCTTCTCTCAGTCAATATTATACGTATAAATATATTTCCGCTTGCTCTGCAGTGACTGAGTCAATGTAGCTTAGCGTGCTTACGAGCCTAAGCCGGAGATGACGAGGTTTTTTTTTCAATTATTTCACACGTACGATTTCGTTTCTTATCCCCGATTTTACGCGAGGCCCTTTTTATTTGGTTTCGCGTGTTCGTTTAGATAGGAAAGCCATCGAAAGCTTACGGCGAGTACACGTTGTACAGAATAGATATATACATACATATATATAATATATATAATATATACGAGGTATATTCAATAAAAAATGGCACCAATGTTGTCAATAATTTATCATCAATGTTTACACATTCAAACTTTTGTCTGTTACAAAATACGGTAAATGTTCGATTAACGCTCGAAACTCGGGATCGCTTTGGAGCAGTTATCGCAGAGGGACACGATTTCTGCATTTCATGAATTGTGTCGCGAGTTTCGAGCGTTAATCAAACATTTACCGTATTTTATAGAAGACAAAAGTTTGAACATGTAAACGTTGATGATAAATTATTGACAACAGTTTCAATGCCAGTCTTTACGTGAACATCTTTCGTGTGTATGTATATATATATATTTTTTTTGAAGCGATGTTCTACGTGTTTATAGCTCTAAATATATGAGTAGAGACTGTGATAAATTGTATTCCGTTGGTAAGTTATTGTGTACTAGTCTCTCTAGAGGTAGACGTAGACATGAGCGATCTGTGCGAAATAACCGTAACGATGAAATAGAAGAACGTGAAACGTCTGTACCCGTGTGTTAAATGGCTTGCTGGGCAGGGGTGGGAATAATTGTTCACTTGGATATAGTTGACTTGTCTACGGCGATCCGTGATCAATTTAGACACCGATAGCGATCGGATACTATCGCTTAGTTTAGCAAAAGCGACACTACTCACCGGAAAGGATCAATAAAACATAAATCAATAAATTTGATACGTTACGAACATTAGTGTAGAACATTTTCAGTTCTGGTAGGCCATAGTTCGTTTTGCTGAGAAGTAGCGATGGGTTTGAGCGCGGTATGACTACTTTTGAGGTCTGATCAAAATTGTTCAGTTTCTATACAAGGATCCAAATCTGGAAATAATAAGGCTCATTCCTTATACTAATGAATAGACTGAGAATATTTATGCACAATCACAATTGTAGGCATTAATTTACAAACTGAAAAATGAGAGAAAAATTTACTTTCAGGTGTCTTATTATGTTGATAATAATTAAACTGTGGATGTTTATGCATTTACAGCATTCCTTAACTTGGAAAATAGTATAATTAAAATAATATAAATAAATGCACCGTGGCCGAGTCTCATTTGGGATAAACTGTTAAGAATCTAAAATACACTTTACACATCTTTGAAGGTAACCCGACAATAGTAATGGTATATATCCTTTTCGCCACGTGGGCCGTGTCGCTAATGCGACTCTCAGCGCAGTGGTTTCACGGGAACAGAGGATTAGGCAGTAGAGAGAACTCGTGCACGCGCGCTCGCGCGCTCAATGAATCGAATTTTTAAAAAAAAAAAGCTGAGTGGTGTGTTTGTTGTTTTCAGAGTGATATTTACGGGCATCTACACATTTGAGTCCGCCGTTAAGGTGATGGCGAGGGGTTTCATTCTGCAGCCTTTTACCTATCTTAGAGATGCATGGAATTGGCTCGACTTCGTAGTTATAGCTTTAGCGTGAGTAGTTAAAAAAACTTATTCTTTAATAAACCAGAGAGAAACAACGAAAAGACCGAGTGGAAGTGCAAAAAGATACAGAAAAAAAAAGAAAGAAAGCGAAAACCCGAAAACTGTTACAGAAATTGACGAAAGGGACGAGCATTGAACACGGTAGAGTAACAGCGTGTGACGAAAAGGAATAAGAATCGGGATGGTGCACACGAACATGTGTCGAACAGACATATAAATACGAACAAATCGATCGATCGTTCAGTATTTAGTCAGACACGATTTTTCAAATTTTTTTTTCATCGAAAACACGTGATGTAGTGGTCTTGATCGAATTATCCAATATCTATAGGATATCATTCTTAGGTTAATATGTTATCTCGCGTAATACGGAAATACGACTGAGATGTAGATTCTTTCGATAATAAAGGACTCACATTGAAATGTATCGTCGCTCTAGTTCGTATTTATTCTATCTCCACTAGTTTGTAAACTGAGAAAACTGAATTTAAAGTTTAGGAAGTTTAATATTATAAAAGCAGGGAAGTAGGGGAATAATCAAAACACTATAATATCATCTACTGGATAGCTATTTATTACAATATTTAACAAATTTCAAAAATTTCAGAGTTAGGGCTTTGAAGAATATTTGTTCTTTTCCAGGTTGAATTTTCTTTATATTATGATGAATCTGTATTTTTTGGACCAATGGGACTCACGTAAATTGATTAACTAAATTTTTTTTTAAAAATGGAGATAGAACAGACAAGAACTCGGGTGACGATATACATGTAGTTGACTCGAGAAAAGACATTCATTGAATCGGTGTGTCGTGCGGTCGTGTAAGATCCGAATTGTCTCAAAACGTGAATCCATAATTTTTTGTCTCTAAGTGGCTCCCTTAAATCCTCGCTAAATCTTTTCGAGTTAACCTAGAACATGCATGACAATAAGAGATGCAACTCACGTTTTTCTTTCTTGAGATATGTATCGATCATACGCAACGAAAAATAAAATTAAACAATGAATTTTTATTCGATAAAACTGATTTTCTCTTTAGTCTCGTGGGTACAATCGAGAAACAAGATGGCGGTCTTAGGCGAACCGCGGCGACAGGACCGATTTCGAGAGAAAACAAAGGAAAAAAAAAACGATAAAAGATCTCGTCGATTCGTCCTCCCCCGCAGAGAAGCGTTCACCACGAAACGCTGAATTTAGTACATATTCGAATTTAGTCGGTCAGGTTTCTTTGAACTGTAGACACACATTCGCTAGATACCTTGAGTTACGCTATGAAAATATTTCTGTAGCATCGAGTATGTCACGTACTTACTTCAGTATATAATCTATATCGTTTCATGTTACATACACACAGACAAACACACATTTTGGCCAATCTATACGTAAATAACATATATATATATCAACATTGACATTGTACCACACGTAATAGTCACATGAATACGTAACAGGCATATACGAGTATTAGTCCACTTAGATAGGGGATTTAGAGACGTTATTTATGTCTAGTAACCTCAAACCGAAGAGTACCTAATTATTGTCATTTCGTAATGTTGATTAGTCATAGTTCTATATCGTCGATTCGATTCAATCACTTTATTAATTGTTGTAGTTTAGACTATATATATCTTCTATAACATATATTAAGTAATTGTTGATAGATGGTCAATACGTGTATTTATTCAGCGTAACGAGTACTCAATTTATTGTAACCGGTATCACGAGAATAAGAAAGATATAATTTATGATGGTTGCCGATTATCGTCTAACTATTACATATCTGTAGAGGCAAAATTCTTTTAGTGTAATTTGTTAGGTATACAGTAAACTCTTGATTAGTGTTCGAAGGCTCTTCAGCACTGAGCATTTTATAAAGTAATGGCTATATGTTGCTGAAACAAATATCATTGGCTTCCGAATTCCAAGCTCTATTAATGTGCCAAACTTCATTAAATAATCGGCGTTACACCTAGGGATCTGCCCTGGTCAATATCGAGGAGCCTTCGAATACTCATCGATGATTTACTGTACTTTAATTGTTTCAATCCTTCAATTCTTAACTCATTAACTATTATTAATGTTTCTTTATTTATTGTTACCAAACATATAACTAAGTTAAAATCGTGAATTCATCAATTACAATACTACCTCGTTATTAGAACATCGCTCGAGACTGTCGCCGAAACTATTATAGAGAGCAATGGACACGATATCCTACGATCGTTCCATTGTCTTCTGTCCTTTTTTCATTCGCTGCTGATCATGATATTGTGTAGCTCTTGATATGATTATAAAAAGGTCGATGAAGTGGTTTTGTAGCGAGGTTTTGCCGTAAACAGAAAACAAGAAGATATTTAATGGTGGTTAATCGGTGAACTATAAAAATTCTTCTGAATTACGAACGATGATTCTCGTGTTACTGTGACCATTACATCTCCAATCGTGCATGCAGTAATAGCTATTCTTACGATACACGCAGTTTCCAAGCAGACGTTTGGTGTAGGCCATTAGGAACCGTAGCGAGTAAAACCCTTTGAGTAAACTTTAACTGTCCTGAACTCTCTTTTTTCTAACGTTTTGTTTTTTTGTTTGTATCACTGTAATGTGTGTGATGTTCGGGTGTATTGCAGTTATGTGACGATGGGCATAGATCTAGGCAACCTTGCCGCTCTCAGGACATTTCGAGTCCTCCGAGCCTTGAAGACTGTCGCTATTGTACCAGGTATGCTTAGTGAAATAGAATTGGTCGTAGTCGCAGATTATATACATATATTATATATTATTAGAGGTCATAGACACACTCTTTGTCGCGGTCGCTGTACACATCTCTCGCAAACTCATCACAAATATAACGCCTGTTCTGTCGTTCGATCTGTTATTATATCGTTGTCACGCTGCCATTTTGCTCATCAGCCTATTTTTCATATTTCGCGTTCATCCGTCGGCGTCGGGTCATTCATCGAAGTTGCTGGGTCTGCGAGGAGAATTCTGTCGTTTTTCGTGATCTCAAAAGTGAATTTCAGTGTCCAATCAATTCTGTGATCTCGGAAAAACGAATGTTGCGTTATGACATCACGTATGGGCAATATGGCGGATGCTTGACTCCTTTCGAGCCACCATATTGGAAATGTATGCTTTCTTTATTTTCAGCTTAAGCTGACCTATATTAAAATACTTGTAACATTTCTCAATCAGTCACAGACTTATTGTTTACAAATGAAAATACACCATGGTTCAATGTCGTGAGCTGAATACGTTCGCTGTAGATGACTCTATTTGGCGATTTCGACGACTCGAAGAATCCATTGCTGTTATCTTCATTTTTGTCTCTACTATGGAGCTTAGATCCCCGATAGATGTAACAGAAGCGACAGAATCATTCTCGAGAACCCAACTCAGATAGCATCTGACCAATGACGCCTTGAAGACGGCTTAAAGACGCCTCTTAGACGTAAAATAGCCGTAAAATGGGCGTCCTCAAGACGTCATGTGCTATCTGGGCAATGCATCGATCAATGTTTTACTGTTGCCCTAATCTACTACAGCTCTCGCTGATCCGTCGTTCCTCCTTGATCCTTCTCCGTCCGCCCGTGTGTTTCCCCTGATTGTTCTCCGATCACCAACGTTCCCCTCGTATCTATGTCTCTCTTTATCTCTCAGATCAGTCGATCATCTATTTCCGCACGCTGAAAACGCAAAAAAAAGAGCTGGTTCCGTTTTAAATGTCGACGTACGAGGCTGACGGAATGACCGAACTGAGCCCACCGTCCTTTTCTCTCGTTGTCTAGGTCTGAAAACCATTGTCGGCGCTGTGATAGAATCCGTGAAGAACCTGCGCGATGTGATAATCCTGACGATGTTCTCTCTTTCCGTCTTTGCGCTGATGGGCCTCCAGATTTACATGGGGGTTCTCACGCAAAAGTGTATAAAAAACTTTCCTGAGGACGGCTCCTGGGGTAATCTCACCGACGAAAACTGGGAGCGATTCGTTAGTAACGAAAGTATGTAGCAATACCGTCCATCATTCTTTAATGTCCAGTTGTAATGGACTGATCTTTTGGGGGAGGTAGTTTTTCTTGGAACGTACTGTTTTTTCGCTAAATAATCTCAATTGTTCTGCCTTTAGCTAATTGGTACGTGGACGAGGCGAAAAATATGCCCCTGTGTGGAAATTCATCTGGAGCAGGGTAATTATCGTCATTAGATTCCTTTTTACCTCTTTCATTCCCAAATTATTTAAAAATTACCACCGAAATATTTCGTTGTATTTTGTATATATTACGATCGCAATATATAATGTAATACTTTACCCATTTCTATTTCATCCGAATTCTGTTCGATCCAACATACTGACGATCTCTTTGTGGACCGTTCACAGGCAGTGCCTTCCTGGCTATACGTGTTTACAAGGATACGGCGACAATCCAAATTACGGTTACACGAGTTTCGACACCTTCGGCTGGGCCTTACTCTCCGCTTTCCGTCTGATGACCCAGGACTACTGGGAGAACCTTTATCAGCTGGTACTAAGATCGGCCGGCCCGTGGCACATGTTGTTCTTCATCGTGATCATTTTTCTCGGCTCGTTTTATCTCGTCAACTTGATCCTCGCCATTGTCGCGATGTCGTACGACGAGCTCCAAAAGAAAGCCGAGGAGGAGGAGGCCGCCGAAGAGGAAGCCATTAGAGTACGTTATCTACTCGATAAACATGCATGTTATCATTTCAATGTTTTCTCCTTGTAAAAATTACCGTTGGTACCTAGAAGGCTAACATTTCTAACAAGGGAGGACCCCAAATTAATGTCTCAGGTTTGGTCCATGATTTGCTGGGTGAAAGTATAGACTGTACAGTAAATAACCGATGAGACCCCATGAGCGACTTTTTCCTGTTCCCAAAGATAAAAAGAACCACGAAAGAACAAACTTTCGCAATCCCAAGCGAGATAAAGACAATATCGCTAAGCTAAAGCCAATACCAAATACAGCGTTCCACAAGTATTTTAAGCATTGGAAAAACCGCTGGCATAAGTGTGTTACATCAATTGGGGACTACTTTGAAGGGGACCATATCAATATCGATGAAAAAATACATATTCCGTCAAATAAATAAAAAATTCCAGAAACTCTGATCAAACCTCGTATAGAAGGTAGTCTAATAGACTTCGTTATTTGTCTGTCGAAATTTTCAACTGTTCCATATTATCTGCAGTTACCCTGTATAGTAGGCATAATCCACTGTTTCTCTAATGAATTTTGATGATCGCAGGAAGCCGTGGAGGCCGCCCAGGCGAAAGAGAACAAGCTCGCTGCTCAGGCAGCCGCTAGAGAGGCGGCGGCCCAGGCAGCCGCGAACGCTGCGGATCACATCGTCAAGTCGCCGTCGAACTTCTCGTGTCAGAGCTACGAGCTTTTCGTCGGCCAGGAGAGAGGGAACGACGACAACAACAAGGAGAGAATGAGCATACGTTCGATCGAGTCGGATCGGGTGAAGCAGATCAACAACCACACGACTACCACTAAAGTACGAAAAGTCAGCGCCGTAAGTATCTGACCGCGGTGGCTTTATAACCGTCGAATAACACACGTCTATCTCTCTCTTTCCCCCCCCCCATTCTACGAGAGCAGTTACGCGCGAGGCTCTGTTCATCCTTTGACTCGACTCGTCGGCACAGTGAACCTCGGGATTGTGTTCGATAAAATTGTGGAGATTCTCTTGGGAAATGTTTATCCTTTGTTGACAATACTGGGGATTAAGCCCCAGTTAAATATTTACTACCACCCTGTTAAATATTTGATAATTTATATATAGGTTCTTTCATTCTTTGTGCATTTACAATAGACGTGTTACTTTTCATATTCTTTCAAAAAGGAGACACCCTGTATAAGGGAACGAAAAACTCATTTATCATCTCGACGTCTCAAAGGACAAACGGTTGCATGAAAATTTTTCTTGTGTTCGTCAAAGTCAACGAAGGATAAATGTCGTACGAGATTCTCCTCATTCACGAAACACCCTGTACAAGTAATAACTTCGATTGTTAGAATGATAGAATTTTTACGGTGCAAGGAGTGGATAGTCCGCTGACAGTATCACTGAATGAGTTCTGGACGAGCAAGGATGGCACAGTTCATCTAGCAGTCAGGTTGGAAAGATAGAAGATAGTTTAACGAGTTGGTATATACACGGCTCAAGATGTGAAGTGGGCTGAACGAAAGTTTTGCTGACGAGATTTTAAAGGAAGGAATACGTTATAGAGAGCTCGTGTGACAATTGTGACGAACAGATTTTTACGGAATGTTACGAAAAGGGTCGTTTAGCCTATCTCGACGAGTCGAGCCCTTCCATTAACCCTCGGAAGACGATTTCCGATCAATCTTGACTTTAGATAAACATGCAGGGTGCATCACGAAACAGCCCTCACCACTACTGATCGTCTGACACAAAAATAATGTGAATAAAATTTTCTCAGACGTTTGAGAATGTATTTGTTAAACTGAACTGAATTCGATTGTTTCGATAGAAATTTCTCATTCTGGGTCTCCAGTGACCCGACTTCGTCGTGCGAGGGTTAAAATCTATCGCTCTGTAAGCATGCTTGTCGTATGGTAATTCGTTAGGCCGCTTTTGAACTCCTTGTTTTCGTTGATTTACTTCGCAAATTGTCTTTCCAAATTGGTACGCTGAGTTTAAGGCTCGTTTATGTTTACATCTCGCTCGATACTCCACGTGTATAATAGTAACCAGGTCCGACGCCTACGTCCGCGTAAATCGTCGTATTGACCGTCATTGTGCTGTCTTGCATGCGATCGCATGTGTCTAGTAGAGAAAGGAGATACGAACTTTCGGTTGATGAACGTTGAAGAATTATAACAAATGAACATAGTGTTGCAAACATCGACCGTTAAATTATACATTTTTCGTCTATTTGTTTAACTTAATGCAGCTGGCACAATCAGAAGTCCAAAAGTACTATGTGAATATTGATATTAAATGATGTAGTAGATTTGTAAAACGCATATAAGTTTGCAAGGCTCCGATTTTCGTGTCTCCCATTTGTCTGTTCTTCAACCACGAAATTTAGAGTAACATCTTGAAACCCTGATAGTATGTTGCAACAAGTTGTAATCATCTCTGCGTGTACGACATCTTGCTCTTACCTCTGTGTTGTGTACGCTTTTTGCTAGCATTTACATGAACATACTATCTCTCTCTATATATCCGTATCGAGTGCCTCCTTGGTGTACAAATTAGACCACGTTACGAGCCGTTTGGTAGGAGATATCTTTTCTTGTTTTTTTCTTAAGGTCTCTCGCGCCGCTAATGGCCAGTTTACTTATGCCTACCAGGAAAGCCCGCGGAAGGTACGTGTCTCAGGACGTTGTTCCTTTGTCAGCACCGAGCGTACGTACATCAAACAGCTCTGTATAGGATCCATGATCCGAATCATGTCAAATACCGACGATGTTTGACGTGTCGGGATGTGATGGAGAGATTATCATGCGTCAGTTACGAACAGTTCATCCAGCGTGCGAAACACTGTAGATTACTACCGTATGGAAACTCATAATACGCATAGATCGATACGTCGCCATTCATCAGACTTATATTCATCAAGACAATATAGATAGACTCATCGATCAGCGAATTGACTCATTAGAATTTACACCGGTGGCAGTTCAATCGTTCAGAAAATATTGGTCTCAATCACCTAAGTTAGATAGAGTCTCGACAAAAATTGGTAGTTCGAAAGCTAAGGTCCACTTATAGTAGGTCAGGCCGAACACGGGACGAACCTTTAGGGGATCTTCGAGGAACCTTGGAAAAGCTTTGGAGGAACCTTGGAGGAACCTTGGAAGGGCCTTAGGGGGCCGTTAGAGGGGCTTTAGAGGGGTCGTAGAAGGGCCTCAGAGGGGCCTTGGAGGTGTCTTGGAAGAGCCTTTGAGGAATCGAAAAACTATTCTTTCATCTACTTTAAATGAAACAATGCATACTACCGATATCGCCGAAGTCTCGTTCCGTGCTCGGCCAGTTTAAGTATAAATGGACCTTTAATCGTAGAACTTCTAATAATGATACATATTAATCGAAACCCCTGAAAAGCAACAACAAATCCATCCCTTGTCATCTGGGTTCAACGGACACCCAGTTCACCTTTCATATCTACCGCTGTACAGAGAATAGTCACATCAGGCCACGGGGAGGTATTCACCTAACCTGGGACATAATCCTTCGATACAACGCCTACGATTCTAATTTCCCAACCAAGGATGACAAATCAGAATACTGAAAAGCTGCGTTTCCAAGCAGTATTCGTTTACATCGAGTTTGTATGATAGCGTTGACGGGACCCCAACAATCGCTTACCACGATCGTTGCTCGGAGCGGTTAGGAATCCCCAACTTTCGCTTCCCATTATGTTCCCCCTATCCCGATGGGCCCATTGAGCTCTATCGTAACTGAAGTGTGAAATGTGGAAACGGGTTGTTCAGAGGGACAGGAAAGATAAGCAATGAACCTATCTTAATCTTACAATATGATTTACTGTATGTAGTGCAGATAGAGAGGAATCCTTTAGATATTTTTCAGCATATCTTCCATTTCCCTCTGACTGTCGTCTCTTCGCACAAGAATGCACCACTCCAGCTAGGATAGAGCTCGACGATGGCCCCTTAATACGTTCTCCAGGCGAACGCAAGCACGCCAAAGAACCAGCGCTAGAAAAAAAGCGGTGGTCCGCCTTGTTGTAATTCCAGGCGAGCCTCAGTCTGCCGGGCTCACCGTTCAATCTACGACGTAGCAGCCGCGGTAGCCATCAGTTCGCGATTAAGAACGGCCGCGGCCGTTTCGTCACACCGCCTGGCGGCGATCGGAAGCCGTTGGTCCTTTCGACGTATCTGGACGCGCAGGAACATCTACCGTACGCGGACGATTCGAACGCTGTGACGCCAATGTCGGAGGAAAATGGTATCATCGTGGTGTCCGGTTACTACGCGAATCTCGGCTCCAGGCACTCGTCGTACACGTCGCACACGTCACGGTTCTCTTACACATCACACGGCGATCTGATTGGAGGCCTGGCGAACGCCGGTAAACCGATGACCAAGGAGAGCCAGCTGAGGATCAGATCGGTCAGGCCGCCGTCGGTGAACGGACATTTCGCCGATTCTAATCAGAAGTACCATTATGTGAGTATATACAGGGTGTCCCACACTAGCTTCGACTCCCGGAAGCGAGGGGTTCCTGGGATGATTTGAAACAACTTTTTCCTTAGCAAAAATGTTATACGAGGCTTTGTTAACGAGATATTAACGAAAAACTTATATATCATTTTTTACGCCCATCTTTTAGTGGATACTGACACAAATGATTTCTTTTCTTCTAAATCAAAGAAACGTTAAGAAAATATTTATCTTAATTAAGGTCCATCAGCTGCATTTATTGAGTATTTATAGACTAAATAGATGGTGATAGTAAAATCACCTGGTAGCTAAAGTTCTGATGCTTCAAATCGTTGTAACCAAAGAACTGACAAGAATATCGGATGTGAGGATTTTTAGGTCTACTCTTTTGTGTTTTCCTCGTGTAAAATATTACGAAAACTAAGAAGTTTCGATTTCTTACCAGGAGGCTGATTTGGACGATCCCATGGGCAAAACGAAGCAACAAGACAATCCGTTTGTAGAGCCTTCTCAACCACACGCCGTGGTTGACATGAAAGGTAAACCGACAGTACTAACAGTAACAAAAATATTCTTAATAATTCTCTATATTTTTAACCGATTAATGATTTCATTTCTTTCAGATGTGATGGTACTGAATGATATTATTGAGCAAGCCGCGGGCCGTCAAAGCCGTACACCCGAGCAAGGAGGTAATGTCGAGACTCCCATAATCCCCCGTTGCTCACATTATTTCTTCCAGTTCTGTCACCCTTACCACCGATGTGTATCTCTTGTGTGATGAGCATCCTATTTATTCGATGTACACCGTTGTTGAAACTCTCGTATATAATCCTTTTCTATTCCTATTATTGATATACCTAAATATTTCAGTGCTGAAGATTTTTGTCTGAGCGCCTTGTACATAGTAGACTGAATCCTTTATTCTGACGTCTTCTTTCCTTTTTTTTCTCTATTTCTGTTCGTTCCATTCCGATTTTGATTTACTAACCGCGTCAACGAGAGAAAATAAAAAAGAAAAACAAATCTGTGATCTCGAGTCCAGAACGTGTGCGACACTTGAAAATCTTGTTGCTCGCCGTGACGACACAAGGTTTATTACCCTCTCGGGATGTGCATTAAGGTCACCGGTCCTCGGGTGAAATTTCAAGAGTCACGCTCGTTTCATCACTGTGTCTGAGCAGAAAAACACGTGGAGACCGCCGGCTGCTCCTCTGTTCGGTCGAGGTCGTCGACGTGTAATTTATCGCGTGGATTCGTATGCGAGACGAGGGGAGCTTTTAAACGAACCGATATAGTAATTGCAGCGCGTAAGACCCTCGAACCGCCCGTGTTGGACGGGATCGAGACAAGTTTGTAGTAGTTTTCTTTTGGGGAAACAGAGTTTGTTTCCTGGTACATGACACACAGATTAAATATTCTAGCTGCAGCTGCACGACCTCCTGGTCGCTTTGTGCCTGGATTCCGCTTTCTGTTTTATCTCTGATATACAGGGCGTCCCATTTAGATTGACCCACTCGAATATCTTCGAAACCATCGACGATATTCCAAAATGTTTCAGACGAAAGTTAAATGACATCAGAGGGCGCACTTTTTGATGTAACTTTTTTCTATGTGGATGCGTAGAGGTAATGTGAAAGTCAACTTTCTTTTTTAAAATGGAATAAAATACTAAGTCACTTTTGACGAAAAATCATTAGAAGATATGTTGAAAATAAATTGACCTTCGTATGACCTCTACGCGTTCATGTAAAACAAAGTTACTCACAACAGAAAGTGTGTCATTTAATATTTGTCTGAAATATTTTTTAATATCGTCAATATTTTCGGAGATGTCCGAGTGGGTTGATTTAAATGGGACACTCTGAATACGACGGTGGCCGAGAGACAGTCCCAGTAATAAATATAATACAAAAAATAACGAAAAGATAAAATAATTTTTCATTTTTTAATATAGATAATACAGTTGTGCACACTGAAGATAATTTCAATACATTTAGTACTTGAAGCAATATAATTCCCAGACTGCATTTTCTTGGGCTGTTTTATAAAAAAACAAGGCGAAAACTTTATTTCGTTAATTACATTGATTATTAGATAAAGAGTAAATTGTAAACATTGCCAAACCCTGTCAAGGTTCATATTCGCGACAATTTATCGTGGAAAACGAGATATTCAGGAAAAGATATAATGTATACACACATGGTGATTACTAGACTGCGGAAGTTTATGCAAATTTACAATTTCTGATACCAATATGTAAAAATCCAAATGGAGTAGAATTTTTAATTCTCTACTAAAAGCTTTCCTACATCAATAATATATATGTAAATAGTATTAAATTCTATTAAACCCTGTATTTTATTGTATGTTTCAAGTTAAGAGATACTACAAATGCATAAACATCCGCAGTCTAGTGATAACATTTAGAATGAATTCATGAATTTCAAGCTGTCTCTCGGTCATCGTCGTAACTGCAGCGACTTTTAAGCTGCGTCTACACTACACAGCGCAACAAGTTATATAACAAAGTAATAAAACTTGTTAGAAGAACAGAAAGAAAAATGTTATATAACATTTTTCGTGTTACATAGCAAGTTATATGTTATCCATCAAATGTGACGCCATTATTAATAATGAAATACGAAATGTTATAGAAACTTGTTACGAATTTGTCCAGAAGGTATAATTTTGTAACAAGCTATAAAAACATGTATGGCAAACCCAGATAGCACATGACATCTTGAAGACGGCTTAAAGACGTCTCAGAACTAAAACAGCCGTAAAATGGACGTCTTCAAGGCGTCATCTGCTATCTGGGAAAGTTGTATAACTATTTGTTATATAACAGTCTTTTGTTATATAGTGTAGACGTAGCTTTAGTCTGTTGATTTACCATGATTTCCCGTAAACGGCACTCGCTTCGCCGCGTCGAGGGCACCGCCGCGTTCGCCTGAGCTGCACAACGCGATTGTAGGACGGGGGAAAGGCTTTGATTAAAAGCAACGACATTGTCGCATTTCGTACTGAACGCTCTAGAGATCTCGCGATTAGAGCTTTTTGTAATTCAGATTTTCGCTAGGGATCAAATTACGCACGCAAACCATATACATAGTCGCACTTTCGACTGCTTCGAACGCGCGGATGTTTCCGTTGCTGTGCAGCATTCAATATGGCGACCATCGAAGGGTAGACTCATTATTTTCATTATGTTTATACGTTTTTTTCTTTTGTTAATTTTTGTTCACTCATTCTTTAGAGATCAGACCTACCATACGACAACTTCTTTTGTGTATTGTTGATCTTTAATTGGTAAACAGAGATGACAATTAATTTAAATTCACGTGAAACGTTATTAGAAAAGTTATTCTCCGTCTATGAGTTGTATTTTACCATTCTTTTGTTTGGAATTCAACAATTGCTGGAGACAGTAATTTTCGAGACAACCTTGACGTTTGTTTATACACAAAAGTTGGAATGTAACGCTTTGTTCTTTTGAGTTTTTAGCTGGTAGTGTAATTGCTCTCGGAAAGGAATGTCGTGAGTAATGTTTTGATGGTTAAAAGAAATTCAAATGATTTCGTTCGATTTACTTTGCTAAAAGTTTCTTTCGTTTCATTACAGAGCACGTTGTTCGAAACAAGCGTAATCTACATTCGATCACAAGGAATTTTGTACAGCATACGCATCATGTGTTTGCTAATTTCGTTTCGTCAGTTCCCCTGTTAGAGCTTTACTCGGCTGTCGCGTGTACGTTTCTTGCTGCTTGCATCTCGTACAAAATACATTGATTCACAGAATTCAAAAATACCAAGAATATTACTAAAAAAAAACTACCTTTAACGATTAACATAAAAAAATGAAAATCAAAATAGGTACTTAAATAATTGAAATAAAATCGAACGATTACAGTTATTTTTTTTTTAATTTTAAAAAGAAGTTCAAAACGATTCTGTGAGTCTCTGTACGCAGTCGCCAATGGATCGTGTTTTGGGTTGCTTCGATGCAAGTATACTTCTGTTTACGATTTTTTAAAATATTTTTTTTCGTTTTCTGCTACATGCACCTGCCTGTTCGTGCATAATCTGTGGTCTGAAAGAAAGAACAAGCTTGACGAACGAGAGAGAGAACAAAGCAATGCAAAGCATAAAAAAAGAAACCAAAACCTCTTTCCCCAAAAAGAGTGGTGCCAGACAAAATTACTAACACGCGTTACAGTTTCGACCTATTACTTTCCGACAGACGACGATGAAGAAGGGCCCACGTTCAAGGACAAACTGTTGGCCGCGGTGCTACGTTGCATCGATATCTTTTGCGTGTGGGACTGCTGCTGGTTGTGGCTTGAGTTTCAAAAATACGTGTCTCTTTTGGTGTTCGATCCATTCGTAGAGCTTTTCATCACCCTTTGTATCGTCGTCAATACACTCTTCATGGCGCTGGATCATCACGACATGGACAAGGACATGGAACGCGTGCTCAAGACCGGAAACTACGTAAGCGAATCACGTTTCAAGCGTTCGACACGTACGAAGTTTAACTCTTGGAATGCACGGTTTGTCCCAGAGGTTTTCAAGTAGTAATTTTTCATAAAATATTGATAATTTCTCATATAAATCAGTCAAAATAGTTGCCATCAGAGATAATACAAATCAAGAAAGAATTACACAAACTCTGGAAAGGTCTCCAATACTTCTTTTCCAAGATGGTGGAAGAGATGTTTTTGTGTTCATGAGTTATTTATGCAGATTCCTATTATTACAGACGCAATGTGCAATAAAAAAAAATTACTGTTTCAATTTCAGTTTTGGATCCTCTGGGCTAAACCATGCGTAGTAGGCTTTTTTAATAAATAATTCAGTACGGTTACTTACGAAGAGTACAAGTAGGTTTGTAAGCAAAATTTCTACCAAATGTAAGTAAAATGTCATTGATAAACTTTTAGTTTTTCACGGCGACGTTCGGTATCGAAGCGACGCTGAAGCTAATCGCGATGAGCCCGAAGTACTACTTTCAAGAAGGATGGAATATTTTCGATTTTATCATCGTCGCGCTCTCGCTGCTGGAGTTAGGCTTAGAAGGTGTGCAAGGTCTTTCCGTGTTACGATCGTTCAGATTAGTAAGTCACCACTTTCTTAATTAAAAATTAACTGGTCGAACATCTTGAGAAGATAACTGAGTGAGCCATCTGACTGTCGATCGCTTCAAATACGCCCTACTTGTCTAAATACATAATGTGCCATAACAATATTTTCGAAATTATTCTTTTTCTGCTGAAAAATATTCTATTCCATGATACGATTTTAAATGTATCAGATTTTATAGTTTAAACTTGAGTCTAGAGACTCCTTTGATTGAAGAAACAACAGACAGCCTCTACTATTAAAATCTTTTCAAGCTCGTCTGACTATATATATCGTTATATTAACTATTACTCTAACTGAAGAATTCTTCCACAGCTAAGAGTGTTCAAACTGGCGAAATCATGGCCCACGTTGAATTTGCTGATCTCCATCATGGGTAGAACGGTGGGTGCGTTGGGTAACCTGACGTTCGTCTTGTGCATCATCATTTTCATATTCGCCGTGATGGGTATGCAACTATTTGGGAAGAACTACACAGACAACGTCGATCGTTTCCCGGACGGGGATCTACCGAGATGGAATTTCACCGATTTCATGCACTCGTTCATGATCGTGTTTCGCGTGTTGTGCGGGGAATGGATCGAGTCGATGTGGGACTGTATGCTGGTCGGCGATGTCTCTTGCATACCGTTCTTCCTCGCCACGGTAGTCATCGGTAATCTGGTTGTAAGTATACGCAAACAGGGAACGAATGTAAAATAGATCACGGTTCCATTGCGAATCGTTCCCGTTTTAATTGGTGCTGGTAGGATTGATCGCAACGTGTGACCAAACATGATACTATTAACAATAACCGTTCAGGTGAAAACAGGAAGAACGAGTCGTTTGTCAACGAAAACAGGTACTGTGAGTATTGAAAATATTCGGACCATAGAACTGTTAAAACGATTTATTGATAAAAATTGTAGAATTAGATGTAGAGGACTTTTATAATATTCATGGTAATGATGGGAACCTGGTCGAATATTTTCGTTACTCGCTGTATGCAGGGCTGGTGGTTCCAGAAATTTCTAGGCGCCATATTGGAGGTCTCATAGAAGGTACAGTAAATTCTTGATAAATGCTCGGAAAAATCAGGTAATCTTTGTCTTGAAATTTCCGAGGAGCAGAAATCGTGTTAATCTATTTAAATACTTGCATTGAGTCCCGAGTTTCGAGCGTTTATCAAAAATTCACTGTAGAAATTCATGCACACTTGTGTGTAAATTTGCCTATGGTAAATGTGTGTAACATAATGTAACTGCTAAAGCAGTATAATACAATAATCGATACACTATATACACCCTGTTATACATCATAGTCAATAGCAAAAAGGACATAATGACCTTGAAATGACCTTCCATCACCCTGGTACCAATTACGTTCACCAGAAAAAAAACAGTATAAAATTGAACGAACCAGCCGAGTCGGCAGAATTCATACGGGAGAATCACGAGGAAATGTTTGCGTTGTGTCTGTGACGAAATAGGTGCTGAATCTCTTCTTGGCCTTGTTGCTGAGCAACTTCGGCTCGTCGAATCTTTCGGCGCCGACCGCTGACAACGATACGAACAAGATCGCGGAGGCGATCGATCGAATAGCACGTTTCGTTAAGTGGGTCAAGCGAAACGTCCTATATCTTGCTAAAATGATGCGAGCCAAATTCACCAATCAGATATCCGATCAGGCGCCAGGTGAGGGACCGTCCAACAGTTGGAAAGAAGGTTTATATCCAATCAGATCGCTTGCTGTGTGCGCTGTGTAGTTCGTGGCACTGTTTTCAGTTCTGCTTTTCACTAACTTCTTTTCCGAAATGTTGTTTTTTTTTTTTGTTTTCGTTTTTGATTTTCACTTTTTGATGCCAGTCGACGGTCGTGTGGGAAGGGATAGCACTGATCGATCTCGAAACGATGAGCAAAGACGATGCGATACAGCGCTTAAAAAAATTCTTCGAGACGAATGACTTTGATTACGATAGTTTTTCTTCGTTGATTGTGTACATTTTTTTTCAATTTTTTGTTTTCTTCTGGTGGTCCAAATACGTTGACTGGCATGTTCGATTTTTGACGCAAACATTTTTGATCGGTTTGCTACTTATCTCTTCGTTCACCGGATGTATAAAGATCTACGAAGATCGATGATAAGAGGATACGAACGGGAATTAATTTTTGCTTCGCTGATTAGCCTGGCAGTTATATGTTGCTTTATCTATTATTTTTGACGTTTGAAGGAAATGATCGTACCGTCGTGAATATAATTGTCCAATGAGATTGTTTTTTGTGGTAGATTGTCGCGTCGTACATGTGGATTTGCGTTCGGTCGTTTTCGTGGGAATATCAGATAGCCAAGTGATACGACTTCTGGGTAATAAAGTGATTAAGGATCGCAATTGATTGAGAACAACAAATTGACTGTCGATGAAGTTGTACCACTTGGTACCCTGAACTTCTCAACAAGTTCCGTGCCACATAAAATTTCAAGAAATTTAGTATTTTATTAAATCTTTAATTTTTCGTAACACTTCACTGTTTCGTTTTAATTTCTTTTTTGTTGTATTTCTTTGCACCCTTACGCTGAATAATACGTTTATCTGAACAATCAGTATGTAGCATCCGGCGCACGCTATAATTGATAAAGCACGTGGCACAGAACCTGTTGATCGAGTTAAAATTGAAAAATTATTTGCAAATATCGATAAAATCACTTTATAGTTTCATAATAAAATCAAATTGAGTACTTAGGCACTTCTTGAACAATATTATTTATAATCTTCATTATTATTCCGCCTAATCTGGACTCGTATAAGAGGATTTATTGACGACTCAAAACCTGCAAACTACATTTCTTCTACCTTTAAATATCCGTTAATTTATCGAACAGGAGTCGAAACAATGTTATACACATCAACAATTGGAATAAAACGCAATCCATTATGGACCACGCTCGGCTAAGTCACATTTTTTTAATTTCTTCGATTAACACGACACAAACCAAGTGTATATCGCGCGATCAGGAAAATTGGCGGTAAATAAACAAAAAAGAAAGTTGCATGAGAGATATATACATACGATAAAATTCGAATTGAAAACTTGGGAAAATTTTCTTTTGCTTCGAATACTTTATTTTTTTTCTTTCGATTTGAATTCTCGATCGGAGAACGGAAAAACTTAACAGACAAGCAAGGGAACCGGTTATCTTACCGTGTACACACGGATATATATATATATATATTTTTGAGAATGTTTCCTCCGATAAGGGCAGGTTAGAGATTCTGTGTGACTGTGCAGATGGAATTGATCGCGACGGGGACCTAGATCTTGCAGATGGCGAGCTCGATGCGTACAGGGATAAAAAGAGTGCCAAGGAGCTGAACCAACTGGAAGTTGCGATTGGGGATGGAATGGAATTCACAATTCACGGTAAGCGTGTCGAAGAATTGCGAATCCAAAATCTTCGATCATCGTCCATAGTTTTCGAGTGATGTCCGAATTCAATCCCATCGAACTTTCAAAACTATAATTAATTACGAGCAATACAATTGATGATTAAATTCATTTTTCGAAGGAGATGTAAGGAACAAGTTGAAGAGTGGCAAACTGTGCATGAACAACAGCAAAATCATCGGCAACTCGATAAACCATCGTGACTACAGGCTGGACCATGATTACATTAATCAGAACGAGGATGACACCATCAGGTTAGTTTGCACTAATAGAATTTTTAATTTTTTCCAGACTGTATAGGAAGACACATGGATACGATCTTGATGCATTATCCTTTATACAAGGTGTCCTACCTAACATGAACACCACCAATAATTTGTAGGTAGAAAATTGTAGATTTCAAAAAAGTAGACACAATTTTGAAGATGCATAAGAATGTGGGGGGAAAGTTTTATTTGGTTAAAAGAAGCAAATACTATGATAAGCAAAAATTGTTCTCAAGGTCATATTTTCCGAAATTGTCAGGTCATCCAAGGTTTTTTGAATGGGACTTCATATTTTTATCGGTATGGCGTAATAGTTGAGATCACGACCAGTACAATGATCTAGAATAGTGTGACTTTCATGTGACCTTGAGAGTTGATTTAAATAATAAAATAACTACGATAGAGAAATTAGTACAAAAATGTATCGAAGTTAGTGGACATCACATTGAGCATTTATTAAAATAAATTTTGTGTAAATCAAAAGCAAGTGAGATACTAAAGGTGCTCACGTTAGATGGGACACCCTGTATAAACGTTAGGACATAAGATCTTGATCAAATGTTGTGTCCTGATATTTATCTGTAGTCTTTATTTATCAAATAGTATCAAGTCGTACGGCAGCCACAAGAACATGGCGTTTAAGGATGAGAGTCACAAGAGTAGTATGGATTCGTTGGACGGAGAAGAGAAGAAGGATGCTAGCAAGGAAGACCTGGAACAAGAAGATGGTATTTATTTTCCTGTGAAATAGTAGTGACAATACCTAATTGTTTGTTACGTTAGGATTCTATGTACTCCAAGTGTAAACTTTCAACTTGTTAATTAATCGAGTATATGTATATTAATTTCAAGATCTTGGAAAAGAGGGAGACGAGGACGGCGGTTTAGACGACGTGATCATTCAAGCAGACGAAGACCCGATCGAATCTGATTATCCAGCTGATTGTTGTCCAGAGAATTGTTACAAAAAGTTTCCATTCTTGGCCGGCGACGATGACGCTCCGTTCTGGCAGGGTTGGGCGAACTTGAGACTGAAGACCTTCCAACTAATTGAGAACAAGTATTTTGAGACTGCCGTCATTTTGATGATTCTTTTGAGTAGTATGGCTCTCGTGAGTAGACAGATAATACATATATACTCTTTTACTTTATTCTCACGCTATGAGCCTGGCACGAACTCGACGCCAACGGTCTAGAAAATCACCTTTTTCATAATCGAAAAAGTAAACGAACCGGGACTGGTATATTTACAAGAATATATGCTGAAAATTGTGTAGCAAAAAGTTCAGATTAGTGGCATTATGTCTTAGTAATGGAGATTTAATAAAGTGTTATGGCAGTTCTTCAAATTCTTAATAGAAAAAATCAGTATCAACGCGTGGCAAGAGGGTATTACCTACCAGGCTCAAAATGTGAAATAAATATTTAATTTGCAAAACCTTCGATCCGATAACGCTTGAATATGGTGTCTCAGGCCTTGGAAGATGTGCATCTTCAATCACGACCCATTCTGCAAGATATCTTGTATTACATGGACCGAATATTCACTGTGATTTTCTTCCTCGAGATGTTAATCAAATGGTTGGCTCTGGGCTTCAAAAAATATTTCACGAACGCTTGGTGCTGGCTTGATTTCATCATTGTCATGGTAAGTTCTATTCACTTGAAAACGATTACGTTACACGTTCTAGTTGTACCAACAAAATGTGGGTAATCCCTTTCAAGAATGATTGACAATCCCTAAGACTTAATACATAATATTAATAACAAACGAACGTTATATATTCATACAATAATTAGGAAAGCGATTACACACACGAAGAATAAGTAGAATATTAATGAATATTTTGAATGTCACTAAATAATTTGGTTTATACAGCCGAACTTCGTCTTCCCTCCTCGGAACAAGCTTACAATATCCTGTTGACACTTTGTTACGTAAAAAAAGTCGGATAAATTCGAAAGAAATGTTTTTCTTCAAAACGAAATCGTAGCCGCGTGAATAATATTCTAGGTTTACTGAAAGGAATTTTTTGTAAACTTGTTGCGAAACTTTACTCGATATAACCGACTTATCCTATCTGAGCTCTTTAACGCAAGGCGTCCGCCATCTTGTTGCCCCCACCCCCTCCTTCTAATACCCCCTGAAAAGTCTGCTTGCAAAGCGGGAGCGCAACGTGGAAACGTCCAGTGGATATCTCTAATAGTCTGCGCGTTAACACTAACAATCACGAAAATCATCTTACATCTGATCGATATTTGATGATAATAGCTGTCACTGATCAACTTGGGCGCAATCTGGGCCGGCGCTGCCGACATCCCGGCGTTCCGTTCCATGAGAACACTGAGGGCCTTGAGGCCATTACGAGCAGTATCACGATGGGAGGGCATGAGAGTAAGTCATCGGTCGACGTGAACCAAAAACCAAAAAAAAAAAAAAAAAGAAAGAAACGTCAGCCTGATCCGGTGAAACAACATATTGTGCAAATCTGATGGACCGAGCCATTACCGATGAATCTTTGTTCTTGACCACGAGATTTCGTTGCGTTATTATCGTGGTGAACATGAAACTTCGTATTTTTACAACCTGAAGTCTATAATGTTGTGATGTTCATGGAAATTCGTATGTTTATCGAATACTCTGCAAAACTTAAAATTACAAAATTATTTATACCGACAATTGAAGGTACTTGAATGCTAGAGCTTATAAAATTCTACATTTCGGTTGTGTTGGTGAAATAAAAATCCTGAATTAAGTTCCTTAAGTCTGTACTGAAGGATTAATTAATTACAATTGTAACATCATAAATTTCCATAGATGTTGGAATGGGGAAGGCACTTATCCGACTTGCACGAGAAGAAAATAAATAACGAAATTCCATGTGTAACACATTAATTATCAATCTTGTTAAGCTATAATTCATCCGTCAGATTTGCCGGTCAAGCTCTATTAACAGTCGATCTCTAAAAGGGAACTAAGTGCAATGTGTACGAAAAAAGGAACATAAAAAAGAAACCGAGGGAAAATGATGAAAGATTGCTACAGTGATTTGTAGCCTGTTCTATGCTTTCCAGTGTGCGGAGGTACACTGGCGTCTCTACTTTGGTGTCTGCACTGATATCTTGGAATTTTTGTCGTACTAGCTATTGTCTATGTACGCCTTTCCTAACAGTCTTTTTTTGGCACAGTGATCGTTGTGCAACCGTACAGTGTATCTATATATACATACTGTATATATTATACATAATATGCTTTTTGTGTAATGTTACTGATCTTCCTTGTGTGTACTTATACGTACCGTCTACGCGTATGTATATTGTAAAATATTTTTACCAGGATCTCGGTTGTTCGTATCGCGACGCACAATGGTATTTCTTGAGAATTCCTTCTCTTTAATTCACCGTTGCAATCGTAACGGAACTTACTAAACTAAAATTATTAAAAACTTCTGTTTCGTTCAATTCACTGTACAAAATCATTCATTTTTATTTCATTGTTGATTCGTCCGTCGTCTTATGGTTTACATAAATATCAACGAGAGGTAAACATCCGACTGGGAAATTGTGTGTCGCGATCGCAAGTATGACGAACATTTTCATCTGTTTCAGGACGAAGCCGACTATCATGCTCGTAATTGATAATGATTCTTGTTAAGCCGTACATTGCTCTTTGCCTTGTCGACTGTACACGCGTGTACGCGTATAATTACGATAATCTTCTACTTAATATTTAATAATAATACATTACAATAATTACTGTCGTAAACACAGGCTTGAGATTTCGAAATGGCCAACCATGGCGGCCGTTGGTCACGTGATCGGAACCTGTAAAAGATGGGCAACTTGTTGATATTCATTCTATCCAAATATATTAACATGGATGATTAATTTATTCATTGTTACAACTTAACAATAATGCATGTTGAAAAATCCTTCAGATAATCGTAATCATACGCAGACAGACGTTCCAGTTACGTAAATCTCTGTTCACTGTTAACTGCTACGTGTGCCATTACCCTGGTTTCTATCTGTGTCTTCAACCCCCCCCCCCCCCCCCCCCCCCCCCCCCCCCCCCCCAATCTACGAACGTGTATATACACTATGTAAATGGGAATCTGAGCTCTCCACAGATAGGACGGCCACCTGTGTGTGACAAAATAACGCTTCGATATGAGAATCCTCGAATCCATCGACACATCAAACGAAGTGACATATCGACGGTCAACCTCTCTCTCTCTATTTCTCTCTTTCTCTTTCTCTTTACCCTCCTTTTGTCGTCCAGTTTTCTTTTCTCTCTTTCTGTCACCTATTCTACCACCCAACCCACCACCCTGGTTCTATTTGCTACTCCAGAGTTTGAAAACGATGGAAATCGTTCTGTTCTTTTTTTTTTCTTTTTTTTTTCTTTTTTTTTATATATGTAGCCTGTCTACCTGTTGCTGTGATTCGCTCTCGTTTCTCGCTCGCAGGTGTCACTCATTAACTTCGTAGCGTCGCTCTGTGGCGCTGGCGGGATCCAAGCCTTCAAAACAATGAGGACCCTAAGGGCCCTAAGGCCACTCAGGGCGATGTCTAGAATGCAGGGAATGCGGGTATGTAGCCCACAGTCTCAGCGGACCTTGCCGATTACTTCATGTGTCCCGTTCGGATCAGTTGTTTCTTTTAGAGTAACGTCTGGACGAATCGACAGCCGGAGTTGGGCATTAGACGAAGTTTCATTCTTTCAAATTATTCGTATTGTCGTGTCTATCTCGGCTATTCACGTTTCGCTTAATTGAGAATTCGAATACACGGTGAAGCGTTTCGCTCGGAAGCCGTTCTTCACGCTTGGACCGGCCAGAGTGAAATGAAAAATTTCGTGATTTTGCTAAACAGAGAATAATAACAGTGTGTGCGTGTGTGCGTAAAAATTTCGTGCGATCAGAAATTTCGATATACTAATTCAAACTTTGTATAGAAATAATGGAAATTTATACATAGACGTCCAACTTTGTCGGCAACCTTCGGTTCGTTCACATACATATTCTTCGATTTAGACTTTCTCGGTGCCGTCGATAAATATGTAAACGTTTCTCTTTTCGAAAATTTGAACAATTACGATTCGAAGCAGTCGAAAAACAAATATAATTGAATTGATGATAATTGTCTAAGAAACAAAAAAAGTCTACGAAAAGGAACTAGAACGGCGGCACCGTTTTTCGTTTTTCGTCGCGAGACTCGACAATGAGGCCGATAGGATACCAGTGAAAAGCAAAATCTGACCAGTATTTTCGATTTATTCCGAACAGAATTATGAAAGTCACGTTCGTTTGTAATCCATTCGAAGGCATCGTTTTCTAATCATTTCTTTTTCAAATTGAACGAAGCAATAATAATCAGACGTTTGAGAAACGATAACTCCTCGGCCTCGCGGTGTCGGAGGCTCGACAGAATCTCCTTTTGCACGTGAACATGCGTAGGAAAATCGCGAATGCACTTGAGCTTAATAAATTGCGAATGTTTGAACGGCACGTAGACTTGTTCCTCGCGAAGAATCATTTGCGAAACATGCACTTTAGAGGATAGACGTACACTGTCGTCCGTAAGTTCGGGGTCACCGTCGAAAACTCGAATCAAAATTGAAATTTTTCGTCGTATAACTTAGTCTACTTAACGAGAAGTGAAAAATTAAAAAATCTACAAACCGCAATATTTATTATTACAGAATTACTATACTTATTATTCCTCCAAATTTAGCATAACTCATTCATTGTTATCGATAGAAAAAGAAAAAGTTGAATTTTTTAATAATAATATGATCTCCAATATTATTCAAATAGAATTATCGTTTATTTGAATGTCTTAATAACTATAGATCGCTATGTAAATCGTTCTTTGGTATACTATGCTTTTTTATTCGCAAAATTAATATTGTTTAATAGGTTAATGACTCAATCATCATGAAATATTATTTACAAGACAATTGCATGGTTTAAGATCACAAAAGAACACGTGACCCCAAACTTATGGATGAGTAGTACTTTAGATACTACCTCGATCTTTGGACAACGTGCCTTTTACTCTAGATACAGCTAGGTACATATAAACGCTCGCCTCAAACACACGTATTATACCTTACATACATAACTTGCCATCTCGTTACATCCCCGCGATGGGTCAATTAACAGTTCACGTCTCATTACAGACATAAATTTGATTCAACATTACTGTAATTACAAGGTCGCTGAGATACTGGGCGTAGCGTTACTGTCATGCCCACATCCTGAACACTATCTCATCCTGTCTTATATTAACGATAATTCGAAGCTACTTGATCTTCAGCAATGATCGATGTACCATTATTTTTTTTCCCTAGTTTTGTTCTCCGTTTAAATTTTCATTTTATGCATGGGACTGTTATTATTATACCCCAATTTGGAGCTGCCATGGCTGCCACCTTGCATCCCATTTCGGTGTATAGTTACGCTTGATGTGCTGTGTATATTCTTCTGATTTTTCTGTGCGGATCCATGCATGCCTGATCGTCTATCGCGAAGCTGTAGTCTGTCACACGGTCACATCGAACTACGATCGAGAAAACCTTGTATCTATTATTTCGTTGTTTCTTGATTTCGAATGTTTTCGTTACGTTTGTCTGACAAACTCGTGAACGAGAAGATCAGGTTTTTCTTTTTCTTTTTGAGTTCACCAAAGATTTATCATTTCGGGTGTACTGGTGTACCTGCTCGAGGTACGCTTATCAGACACGTCGGTGTGGAGTAAGTATACAAAATTTACCTCGGTTTACTTCGTGTAAAACAGATTACGTGAAAACGTTCTTTTTTACATTCTGGAAAAAAGTTGAAGAAATCCCGAAGGATATTCTTATTCATCTATTTCCGGATTTTGATCTTGTGTGATCGACATCGAAACGAGGAACTGGGGATTGTTGCATATATTCAGAAGTTCCGATTCTAATCGATAACTTCTGAATAATCGAAGATATTCTTTCTATTACATATATGCAATTCATCGTTTCCAGTTTCGTCGTACGATGTTCTTGTTTATTTTCTTTTCTCGGGACAAAAAGAGAGATGAAATTTACATTGCACATACAATAATTCGTACACATAGCGTAGTCACATAGAGACGCATATAGCCGCATATAAACGCATAACCTAACGCATAGAAAAACAAAATTTCCATCCTTTGAAAATCTTTGCATATTTTAACCATATGTCCCGTCTCGCAGGTAGTCGTCAACGCTTTGGTTCAAGCCATTCCATCCATTTTCAACGTGTTACTGGTGTGTCTTATCTTCTGGCTGATCTTCGCCATCATGGGTGTACAACTTTTCGCCGGAAAATATTTCAAGGTGTGAACCCAAAATAATAATAATAAACTAATCCTTACAAATCTAAATGAGATACAAGGTGGATACAAGGTTGTTATAGTAGAAAATGTTCTAATATCTACGTGCACTGTAATACTTAAAAAGTATTATTAATAATGAATGTTTATGATTCTTAAATTGTCTGTTTCACAAAGTAAATTTTAAATTTTCGTTGCAGTGTGTAGACGCGAACAAAACAACATTGAGCTACGAAATAATTCCCGATCGAAACGCTTGTATAGCCGAGAATTATACCTGGGAGAATTCCCCAATGAACTTCGACCACGTAGGGAAAAACGACGCTATCGATTCCCGAGAGGTGAGTTCTCCTACACACGAAACACGTGTTTCTTTTTTTCATTTTATTATTCACTGTATTCCATCCTACTTGCGTGATATTCACGCGATTAAAATTCCTATTTCGTTCGCAGCTCAACAAACAACCAATCCGCGAAACGAACATCTACATGTATTTCTATTTTGTATTCTTCATTATATTCGGATCGTTTTTTACCCTTAATCTATTCATTGGAGTTATCATCGACAACTTTAACGAGCAGAAGAAGAAAGCTGGCGGTTCGCTCGAGATGTTCATGACGGAAGACCAGAAGAAATATTACAACGCCATGAAGAAGATGGGCAGCAAAAAACCGCTCAAAGCCATTCCACGGCCGAGAGTAAGTGCGGATAATATGAGAAAATAGAACGATAAGAAGTAAAAATTAATATTTTCCTGTCGTATAATCGGAAACACTTTTCATCTTTTCCAGTGGAGGCCGCAGGCGATAGTGTTTGAAATAGTGACGGACAAAAAGTTCGATATGATAATCATGTTGTTTATCGGGCTGAACATGTTAACGATGACGTTGGACCATTATCAACAGACCCAGACATTCAGCGATGTTCTGGACTATCTGAACATGATATTCATTGTGATATTCACCAGCGAGTGTCTCATGAAGATCTTCGCGCTGCGTTACCACTATTTCAAGGAGCCGTGGAACCTCTTTGATTTTGTTGTTGTTATATTGTCAATATTAGGTAATGTAATGTAATGACTAGTTCAGTCGTATGGCCCAAGTGAAATTGCATAACGTTGACGATCGAAATGAATCCTGTTAGCTTTTTCAACTCACACGATTTTCAATCCACATTCGCCTCATCTTGTACTGCAATTAGAGGGCTTAAGAGACCGGCAATGAGCATGTAGTTTAGGTTTTCCTTCCCGATCTCTATCACCATGCACGCAACGCCAGTTTTATTCTTACTCTTACGAAAGAAAAATAAAGGCGGACAGGGTCAATATTTCACGTGTGCCGAAACGACTGATCAGCGTCATTACGTTACGTAGCCTTACATTGATGTTGTATTGTGATCCTTCCTTCTCCGCCCCACCACGATCCATATGTTCCTAATAATCTCTATATATGAATCTGTTTTGCTGAATCGTTCGATACAATATTATATTAACCACTGATTGATTCAGTGGATTCAAAATGGTCGACACTGTTCTTTGAGTATAGCTTTTTCGTCGTAGCAATTTGCAATGATTTTTCTATTGGTCCATATGTTATAGTAATTTTCTAATAGAAAAGTTAGGTTTGATTCTGTTGTAATGTAATGTTGCATCCGACTCGATTCGCATATGTCAATTGATGTAAAGACGATCATTAGTCAAAACATTGGGTAAGAGCGGGTCTGTATTACCGAAACGTTTTTCACTATATTCTTTTTTGAAAATTAGCATCTTATTAGACAGAGGAGGCTGACTAGTACTGTACTTACATCCGAATGCCTGTCACAAAATTGTGAAACATCTCTTTTTTTTTTTCTTTATACAGCACCACGTTATTTAACAAGTGATCGAGCTTTTATCAAACTTCGATGCATGTTGATCCCCTCGCGAGATTCTTAACGAAAGAGATCAGAGAGTATCTTTAATAGAGGGTCTTTAGTACCACGATGCATGTTCACTATTTTTTTTGTATCTAGCTAATTAAACATTTGAAATCATGTATCAGAACTTTCAAACCTTCTTACTAGAGGAATTGATCGAGATAGCAATAGAAAAAAAATGAAAACACGAATAGAACTTGCTTACGAATCGAGGAATTGGGAATGCATCATCTCTTTCTTATTGTAATGCCCAACGAATGAGTCAGACACTAGAGTATTAGAGTAGAGAATTTCTGCAAGAATCGCCTTACGACAATAATGCATGGGAATTAGAAAGGAACATTGAGTCACATAGAAAACACCACGATGATTTAAGACAGCACAAATTTTTATTACCTCTCTGAACTCCATCCTAGATGTAGCGATAATATTTCAATCGTTCCACGAACGTTATGTTAATGTTTGTACGTGTTCGCTTCAGGTCTGGTGCTCAGCGACATTATCGAGAAATACTTCGTCTCGCCGACGTTGCTTCGTGTAGTAAGGGTGGCGAAAGTCGGTCGTGTGCTTCGACTCGTGAAAGGTGCCAAGGGTATTCGAACTCTCCTCTTCGCCCTGGCGATGTCGTTACCAGCCCTCTTCAATATTTGCCTATTGCTCTTTTTGGTGATGTTTATCTTCGCAATCTTCGGAATGTCATTCTTCATGCACGTCAAAGACAAAAGCGGGCTGGACGATGTGTACAATTTCAAAACGTTTGGACAGTCGATGATATTGCTATTCCAGGTAAGAGAACCGCCAATCAGTATCAATGAACCCTCAATTCAACATATAGCGTTGCTGCGGAGATTCAAATTGCAAAATAATCAAATTCTTTTCAAAATTCTACGATCTCTGGATTAGGGATAAGTGGTATCAATCAGTCGGCATTAATTTTTCTTTCACTATCATCACCTAGTGGAAAATTTCGGAAGCGTTACAAAGTAGTAGTTGTTGGATTATTCATCTCTGAGACGAATCATCTGTAGTTGAGTGGTGGGACACTAAAGGACCTAGGAGTATCATGAAACAATACTTGGTCCGATCAGCAACGCAATATGTTTCTCAAACTATCAAACACCTGGTACAATATTTCCTATTTTTCAAAGATGTCTACGTCTGCCGGCTGGGACGGTGTGCTCGATGGTATAATAAACGAGGAGGACTGCCAAGAGCCGAACAACGAGATCGGTTATCCGGGGAACTGTGGTTCCTCGACGATCGGTATCGCGTATCTCCTCTCGTACCTGGTGATCAGCTTTCTGATCGTGATAAACATGTACATCGCCGTGATCCTCGAGAATTATTCCCAGGCGACCGAAGACGTCCAAGAGGGTCTGACGGACGACGATTACGACATGTACTACGAGATCTGGCAGCAATTTGACCCAGACGGGACACAGTACATCAGATACGATCAGTTGTCCGAGTTCCTGGACGTGCTGGAACCGCCATTACAGATACACAAGCCGAACAAGTACAAGATCGTGTCGATGGATATCCCCATATGTAAGGGTGACCTTATGTTCTGCGTGGACATCCTCGATGCCCTCACAAAGGACTTCTTCGCGCGTAAAGGCAATCCGATCGAAGAGACAGCGGAGATCGAGGTACAGACACGTCCAGGTGAGACCGGCTACGAGCCGGTCTCGTCGACCCTCTGGCGTCAACGGGAGGAGTACTGCGCTCGTTTAATACAGAACGCGTGGCGCAAGCACAAACAGCAACGGCTTGGCGGGCCAAGCGAGGAGAGCGACGACGCGGACACGGATCCCAGAGTCAGGCAGACAGCGGTGCTGGTCGAGAGCGACGGTTTCGTGACGAAGAACGGACATCGAGTGGTGATACACAGCCGTTCGCCGAGCGTCACCTCGAGGACCGCGGACGTCTGATCGGGCGACGTTGACGTGTCACCAACAGCCGCCATCGTCGCGTATAGCCAAGCGTCGCCGTGTCCTGTAAACACACCGGCTGGACGGCGATCGGTCCATTGTTTCAATCACGTGGACGACGTGCTTTAAACAAGAGGCCACCGCGCGCTGAAAGTGTCGACGAACCTGCAACCGACAGGGCCGTCGATCACATCGTGGACACCACCGTGTACGGACACACACCGCTCTTGGGAAGAGCAGCCGGCCTCCACGGACCTCGCTCTCTCTCTCTCTCTCTCCATCGACAGCCTTATAGTTGTATAAAACAAAGAAACAAAAAGATAAACACTAATACATTCCTCCAACGAGTTGCCTTTGAATCGACTCTGAAAACGCCATTGATAACGTTGGGAGAGCGCAGTCACTGCTAGCTGAAACGAGCCGAGGACGAGACAGAGAACAGTCCAAGAGAATAGTAGTTCGAGGGAGCTGTATATCGGAAATAAATAAGAAGACTGCACCACATGTGTGCGGTCGAGAAAACAGATTATGGGAGAAGAGTTCCCGGGGAAAAACTACACGGGGACGAGCATACGAAGAGGAATCGAAGGACAAGAACTGGGATAATGCCTCGTACATACATGAGAGATATTTAGTCTTTAGGGGGGATGGGGGTATGTGTGTGTGTGTTGTATAGAGGTGTTGAAACAGGACATACTCGTGTGCAACCTTCGGGTCAACTTCCCCCCCCTTAAATCAAAGGCTCGAAGGTTCACGTCGGATGTCCGGTAACCACCGTCCCCCCTATCGCCTCAGATTCCTGTCCTCGATGGACTTCGTACGTCGCTCCTGAAACGTGTGTTCCGGGTGTTATGTATATCGTTTTAACAAATTGACGATCCGCCGCCGCGGCTGGCTTGCGTTTAGCTGTGCACGCATTTCGAGGAGCAGGAGGAGGAGGACAGAGATAATATTGAAACGAAATTCACACACGCTCCCGCGTACACCGGGGTGACGTGTGCTTTACGACAATGAAACGAAGAGACCTAGTTAAAAACACATACACACACACACACACATATATATATATACATACACACACACGTTCGAGAAACGGCGTGAGATCAATAATAAGCATGAACAAAAAAAAACCCGCCGCCATTCCACACCGAAAAAATTCACCGATCGTTTCATCCTTAAGATAAACCACCACACGACAAAACAAACATGTAGGCCGGTTCTCGTAAATTCTATCTATATCCGCGAATATTGGATTTTTTACAATGGTTTTACCAGCGGTCCCGCTAAACACGCTGAAAAGAAATCTGCGACGCGACACGCGTTATGTTCGCTTCGCGGGTGACTGTTTGTTCATATATATATATATATATATATTTTTTTTTTTTTTCGTCCCGCTCGATTTGCCTCCAGTCGTCGCACGGCCTGTGTACGGTGCCGTGCGTCGAGGACTGGACTGGAGGGAAACGAGAAATAAAAACGATGAAATGCGAACGAAAAACGTTGGAACAACGGGGATAACGAAGACATTGACGAAGAACACGCTGATCATAACCGACGATAATAGTGAGGATGATCATAGGACGATTAAGATTACGATTAGAAATGATGATGATGATGACGGTGATGAAGAATGTGAAACACAGTGAAAGGTGACTAGTTTTTGGTGAAACGTACGTGTAGCTAATTACATTCGCTCGGCTTGAAAATTTTTCCGCAATACGGTGCGCGAACGGTTTTGATCGCGCGGCTTTGTTTTATCTGGCTCCCCCCCTCTCTGTTCCTGTTCTCGCTGACGCTCTCTTTGATATCACTCGATATGATTCCACACGTATTCGCAAACAGCCTGGAATTTTTTACAATCATATCGTCCGTGGAACAGTTCGGAGAATCTGAACGTTAACAAAAAAAAGTAAAAAAAAAAAAGGGAAAATAAGATGAAGAAGAGAGGAGACGAGCGCCGATGGTAGCTCAATCGAATAGACAAAGTTCAAAATTTAGGTCTTGGTCCAGTGTGTTCGAAATCGTCTAGAGATCTTTTTTTGTCTCTGTATAATTTTCAGAAATGGGACTCACCCTCGTGCCTTTACAATCACTTTTCTTTGTTCTATTGGTCTTATAAATGATTTATCATGGTTATCGTAGCCAACCGATTTATAGACGATTGCCATGTTTTTTTTTTGTTAAATATTAGAGTTCGGGAGGCGGAATTTGTTAACTAGCCTGTTGTCTGTTTCTCCCTGGAAGTTCTTAGTGCAATAACTATTTTCGTATTTATTTGATATTTATTCTAGAGCAATAATTGCTTTTATATTGCCCTACGCCCCTATCGGGGGATGTTCATTTAACGAATAAGAACGATCGCATGGTAGTCACTATAAAATTATTCATACGATTCTTGCCAAAAAAGGGGATGGAGAGGGCGGTAGCAAATACGAATCTCGCAATCATCATCAGCTAGATACTTACACATTTGCAAAACTTACACAGGACACTCAGTCTTACACGACGTAGTAATGCGCTTTGGAATAAATGAATATACACAATAGTGTAACGTTATTTCGAATAATTGTAATCGACAAACGTGCGCCCGTAAACCCGTCTCGCGGTAAATGCGTAGTGTGTCGTCGCCTAATGTGAAATGAATTTATGCGCAAGAATGTTTAAATGAATATGATGGAAATTTTAACGATTAACTCGGTCGGTAACAAGGAGATCGGCACAACTATCTCTTGCAGTGGTGTGTTTGTAATGAAAATGTAGTCCGTAATTTATAGGAAGCTATATGCATCGTTTATAATTGGTAATTATTTCTTCTAAAGTGAGATTAATTCTGAAGTACCTGAACGCAAAGATTTAGGCTACAAAAGAAACATAGGAAAAATTGCCGCGTAAAAAATATTCAAATTATTGTATAACGACGTCAGAGTTCGCCAATGTAACCGAAGATGGAGCACCCATCGTTTCCAATGGCCGTCACAAACGTCATAACCTTATTTAGTCGGTAAACCAGCCGCCAACGAGGCCGCCAGACACGGATTAAAGATAACTCTGATAAGTAGTCAAATTGCATTACAATCTTATCCCGATGAAAACGTTTTTAATCGTATTATGAAATGAATTACACAAAAGTGTTCGAGAAAGTTGTGCCAGTCCTTTTATTCAGGCCTGAAATCGCGGATGCCAAAACGAAACGTTAAGTTTTCGATGAGGTTTGTTTGTTAAGATTTTAAAGCGTTACTACTTTGATGTTCATCGCTTCAAATATTTACTGTATAGTTTTCTGTTGAATTGTCGAGCGTTTCGCGTTTCTCAGTCGTTGTTCGACGAGAAACGAGGAAAGGCGGGAATAGAGAGAAAAGAAAAATATGTTAGTCGAGAGATCGTACGATCTTCGCGATTCGAACTGCCGCACGATTGTCCAAGGAACAGTTTTAAAACGATTCAACGACGCAACCGACGAAGCAGCCGCGTATTTTCTTTCGTATTTGAGGAAAAATAAAGAAACCTGTAATGCGTTCGAGTGAGTAGAAGAAAGGAAAATGACACTGCTTCGTTTTAGAAGGGAATCGTGTTCGAGTTCCCGCATCGGTTTTTCGAACGGGTTTACGTGCTTTCAACGTCGCGGAGAACCGCGTGTCTGACTGCGCCCCGACGATTTCTGACCGCCATAGTGGGCGACAGGATCGCGTTACGGTCGAGAAAACGAAAGATAACCTCAGCACGCGGTTTTGCCGTGAGCTTACCTAAATCGCATCGCGCAATGTACGAACGTATACAGTGGAGACCATTTTCTCACGTATCAGAATTCCTTTGAATTTATTCAATTGAAGGATAAGGATACAGAATAAAAAGGAGACTACTCGATAACTCCAAAACAGTCGGGCTTCAACGGTCAGAGACACACTTCCGGGTCAATTTCATATCGAGTTCCGAAAGTTTATATTATACCTGAAGCACAAAATACCAAGAACGCTGGAATTCCAATATCAAAATCTTTCTCGATTTTTACTTTTAATAATTTAATAAACTACACAAGGCGTACGTGAGTCCATGGTCGCCACTGTACGTCACGCGAAGTAAATCGAACGCTACGTTTCGAACAGTGTATATATGCAGTAGAAACGTAAACTACAGCTATACTGTACTATATACGGTGATAGGAAACCTGAGCGATTTACTTTGCCGTTAAAATAAAGTGGCTCGCGTGTCTCTGTATACGTACAAAAATACAGATCAACGTATTGTTCGTTCGCGCTAAGGGATAGTACCCGTCGCGATAACAATGGCTACTTTGCTTCTCTCGCGCGATAAGGAATGTGGAAATAAACCGTGGAAATACAAATATCGGGTTCATCAGTTGCATAGTAATCGGCTATTTATGAAACACCAATACTGATTACAAAACGAAATGATCCTTCCTCTTCAGCGAATAATCTAGAAACGACGTAAACGTTCCTGCAAAATTCAGGTGGATTTGTTGTAACACGATTTATCGTTACCGCGAACGAACAATATATTGCACACGTAGGTAATCGGCGAATGAACGTTATCTCGAGGTCGCGCGCGCGCGACAAGCGCGTCGAAAGCGAGACCCAAAGGGGGACAAAGTGAAGAAGCGTGTATGTGCATGCGTGCGTGTGTTTTGTGCGTGTGTATGGTGTGTGTACGTGAGTGCATGAGTATGCGTGTGTATTAACGCGGACTGCGCGATCGTTATTTTTCTACGTTTACATCCACGATCCGAAAGGAGGAAACGAACAAAAAAAAAAAAGAATAAAGAAACACGGAAGGAAATTGGAAAAGGAACGAGGATCGGTAACGTTGTTCCGCTCGCGCGCGACCGGAAGTAGATGTCGCGGTTGTTCGACGCGAGGATATAACGCGCGCCATGGACAAAAAACGAACGTAAGGGATCGTTCTCGCTGGTCGAAAACGGACGTAACGTGGAACAGAAGCTCGCAGCTCGCTCGATGGATTGTACATGAACGTTGGCAGGAACGACGGTTACGGACGTTACGACGAACCAGGGAATAAGGGGACGGTATTAAAATAATTGTTACGAGCAATCCGGGGATGGGTATAAACCTCGTGTAGGCGACGGAAACACGACTCGTGAAGTAAACGGTAACAAACTAAAGGAAACGGGAAAAATAAGAAAACTAAAAACGTTCATTATTTTAAGCTACGGTGGCTCAAGAGGGTGAGGATCATTGTAAATTACTCGTACAAATAATTCACAACACTATCGGTGTCGAGTCCGCTTTGTCAAAGTATTTTAGAAAGAAACCAAAAAAAAAAAAATAATAATACGCCTGTCCGATATTAATGTCCTCGTACCTTTTCTACGTATATAATTATAAATTGCATTTCACGATTACTCGTCGCGGGCCATTCGATGATCCTTTCGTGAGCACGCTTCAACGTTACTACTCATGCGCCGCGCGTGGCTGCGTCCTCGCGACTCGTTCGTTCTAAAGAGAGTCGTCTCGTTCTTCGT